TCGTTAATGAACAAAGTACATCCAATCCAATCCAACTTTATTTATACAGCACATTTAAAAACACCAAAGTGCTGTACATCAATACATTTAGACAACTGATAGGACAACAAAACAAATGTAAAAACACGAGACAATAAAACCATACTTATAGCCACAGACTGAAAAACTCTCATACACAATGTCAAATCATTTAAAAACACAACAAAATAGAAAACCCCAATTAAAAAAACATAATATATTCTTTCAGAGCTTTTGCGGGGCCACATAAAATGAAGCCGAGGGCCGCATTTGAGCCCCCGGGCCTTGAGTTTGACATCCCTGCCTTACACCATGGAAGCAGGTTCAATCGAGTTAGAATTCTGAATTGAACTAACAAGAAAAGTGAATCTCTCCGAGACATCACTCAGCTGGTCAAACACTGACGTAACAAAGGTTTTCGGGGAAAGAAACCAGACTAAAGGTCAGGGTATGAAGCACTGAGAGAACGTCAGTGAAGAGGCATTTGTCATTTCATTGTGTTTTATATATCACGACAAAGGTCTGAGTAACACATGGCGTCTGTTCTCCCCTCTGTCTGCAGCATGTACTGCAAAGCCTGCGATGGTCTGTGTGATAAAGTGTGTGAGGAGAAGGTCATCGACTCCATGGACGCTGCTCAGTCTCTGAAGGGATGCACCGTCATCCAGGGGAACCTGCACATCAACATCAGGAGGGGCCGTGAGTCACACACACACACACACACACACACACACACACACACACACACACACACACACTACTTAAAAACAGTTACAGAGGTTTGATGGTTACATATGGTTGAACCACTAAAGATGTAGTTAAAGCAGAGGGTGTAATCAATATATCAGTGTGTAATAACATTTGTGTGTGTGTGTGTGTGTGTGTGTGTGTGTAGACAACATTGTGGCGGAGCTGGAGAGTTTCACCGGGTTGATCCAGAGGGTGACGGGGAACGTGAGGATCAGACACTCACACACTCTGACATCACTGGCATTCCTGCGCAGCCTGAAACACATCGAGGGGAGAGAGCTGCTGGACGAGTGAGCACACACACACACACACACACACACACACACACACAACATCGCTGTTGGCGCCGTGCTGGATGGCTGCCTCCCCTGCTACTTTCTTGTTTATTTCTATTCTTTGAATTTTTATTGTACAATGCCATGTCTTTTTTACCATCTTATCTTATACACACACACACACTCACTCACTCACTCACTCACTCACTCACTCACACACTCTCTCTCTCTCTCTCTCTCTCTCTCTCTCACACACTCACACACTCACACACTCACACACTCACACACTCATACACTCATACACTCATACACTCACACACACACACACTCTCTCTCACACACACACACTCACTCACTCACTCACTCACTCACTCACTCACTCACTCACTCACTCACTCACTCACTCACTCACACACTCTCTCTCTCTCTCTCTCTCTCTCTCTCTCTCACACACTCACACACTCACACACTCATACACTCATACACTCACACACACACACACTCTCTCTCACACACTCATACACTCACACACTCATACACTCACACACACGAAGAAGTAAAGGAACAGTTTGGGGGTTTATAATAATCCCTTTTAATGTCATAACACATAAATCTTATGAGGGTGTGTTTTACAGACGAGTATAAATGGTTGTGTCTCGTCAAGGTCATTATTAAAATATTGGCAGGATGAGGAGAAAAACAAAGATAAAATAATAATAAAACATGTTTTGACTGAGTCTGCAGACTGTGGGAAAGACTCACTGAAATAAACAAAACACACTTCCTTCTCTCTATTTATAGTCTGTTAATAGTCACTGTTGTGAACCCAGAAATGTTGAGTACTCTAAAGTTGTATGTTGAAATGTATAGTACGGGTCAAACTGCCGGATGCTAACCTGCATATGTTGGGCAATTTAGCACAAGTTGCATTAATTAGCATTCATTACCATATGCAGGCAATAGTAGAAACAATGGCTTGGCTGATTTGGAAAATATAGGAGTGGTTTTTGGGGTTAATGCAGATGTTGACATTTCTGACATTTTCAGGATCATAAATGGCAGTTTTAACCAGAAAGAGGCCATAGATGTACTCTCTGTGGACTCATTTTGACGACATTTGGGTCGATTTTAAAGTTTAGGGGACTCAAACTGCCATTTGTTATCCTAAACATACCAGAAATGTATTCAACATCCTCAACAACCACATCAAAATTGTCTAAATCGCTCAAGCCATTATTCAGATATTGTCTGCATATGCTAATTCATGCTAATTGCCCAACATATGCAGGTTAGCATCCGGCAGTTTCTATGTCCTGGGGACCCGTACTTAGCATTTCTAAGATGAAACTTTGAGAACATTTCTGGGTTCACACTGCGGGCAACTAGACTACTAACTGCTAAAGTAAACGTGTTTTCTTTATTAGACCTTGAACGCAGCGTAGTCCTTTTTCTCAGGG